TGAAACAAAAAATAGTTAAAATGGAAAAGAAGGTAAAAAGAGTTAGAGCCACATAGTTACAGCTTCTTTATTCATTTTAGCCATAAAGAGTTTTAAAAAACACAAAACTCACAAGAGCGTAAGTAAGACTCGTAGCCCAATGTCAAAGTTTGTCAACGAAATCCCACTTCCCACGTCCGAGCGCCCCAGCTCACAATTGTTTTGTAATCGCACCAGGAACCAAACCTGTTCCGGTGTGGCAGGCGGCCAACTCAACATGTTGCACTCACACCAAAATATCTCAGAGTGAAAAGGTCATGCATTCAATATTGTGTCCTAAAATCTTTCTTCTCATTTGGAGAGCAGAGACTTCCATCTCACATTGTATTTCTGTGCAGACAGATCTGGTGGTTTTGCTTATTTGTTTGAAACATTTACTGTACCATGAGTCAATACACCAACCAACACTTTAAAGTGAAAAGGACTTGGAGAGAGGGTGCTTTATGTCACTTTGTGGAGAGAAACCAAACTGTATTCTGCCTCTAATGCTTATAGAGGCTTCAGGAGGATTAGCTGATAAGAATGAGTTTTTCTCTCATTCGTATCAGCAGCAAAACTTAAGTAGACTGTTGTTTCTTCAAGATACCAGTCTTTCATCCACACTCTGTTCCAATGTTGTCTTCATGACTCACTGTTTTGATAACCTGCAAGATCATTTGGTTAAAGTCAAATAAATGTCCCTTTTTGTGTCGCAGAGTGCTTGTGAGAACAGCTTTGAGCAACAGATGTGCGGTTGGATTGGCATCTGTTTGTCTGGCCCGCCTTTGTGCAGCTAACAGGTATTCCACATTTGTGACTTGGAATGATAAGGTGGACCGAGAGGTTTGTGAACACATAAAAGGGAGGGAGCGGGTTTCCCGTTGAATGAGCTGCTGTTGAGTGGTTTTGTTTGTTTTGGGAAATGTCGAGAATGCGTTTGATGTTGGAGTGAACAGAAGTGAGAGAAAGTTAGAGAAATGGACAGTAACTTAATGCAGGATTTAGATTATTTAGACTTTTTTTAATGTTTTACATTAGCACGTGGTAATCCAACACAGATGGTGGGATCAGTGATAGCGGCATCTATCTCCTTTGTTGTGGTGGAAGCACATAATTATTTGCACCAATGTGGAACTATTGGTCATGGATGTAATAACACATCCAGCTCATAAACTGATTATGACATTATTTTTCAGAAACACTTTACTTTTTTGCAAATAACTTCACTGTTTTCAAAAAAATCAATAATTGGTACAGAATAATCCAGTCCACATTTTGCTTGTCTATAAATTTATTTTCCTTTTACATTAGTCTAATTCAACCAGGATCCTAATGCTTTTTAGCATGATAAAGATTTTTTGAAATCTCAAAGTGCAGTGTAAAACTATCCAGTTCAGATGTGAACGCTCTGAGAAATATTGATTTGTAAGTGGAGACAATCAAATGCAGTCCGGATTCACTGTTAGAAAGCCCCTGATGCTTGCTAGCAGTTAGCCAGTGGAGATTTTCATGCACCGTGTACAATGCAATTAAATCATGTCCTCCCAAGTATCAGTAACTTTGTTTCTGTCTGTCATGCAAATTTTGAGTGAACTTTTAGAATGTCGTAAAAAAGAAAATGTGAAGTAGGTGTGTTTTCATCAACCAGATACACAAAGTGGATTTTGTGTATCTGGAGTAAAGCGGAGTAAACAGTAACAAGTTCGCTGTGCCAGAATTAGTTTGCCAAAGATGTTTCCATCTCACTGCTAGTGCATTAACTCTTTTTCGGAAAAGCCAAAAAACACTTTTTTTGTGAAATTAAGTTTTTTTTAATTTTGCCAAACGTTGATGGAAGTGTGACTCTTATTCCTTTTTACTCTACTACTAATAGCAGGAATTTTGCTTTTAAGTAAGACATTTTTTAACCGTTTTGATTTAGTCCACAGACATTGTTTTTCAAGATCATGTATTTCCTCTTCACCGCTGATCAAAATTAGGCAGCCAGTTTCTATCTTGCCCAGACTTGACAACTGTTAGAGGCCAGGCACACCAACCCTCCCAGCCCCCTCAGGGCCTGCCTCTCTGAGTTCTGGAGTAGATTTCAGGACTTTATTATTTGTTTTTAAACGGTCAGGCCGTTTAAATTGTGTTAAGATGCTGGTTGTTTACCTGGCATCTTAACCTTTCATGTACCAACTTGCTGCCTGGGATCACTTGGTGTGTCACTGATTGATAGCCTGTCACCAAATGTGATTGGGTTGTTGCTATTTGGCTTCACATGCTAAGGAATGCTCCTTTGGATGATCTCAGACAGTCAGATAAAGTGGCCATTTTTAAATTCTAATAGTTCCATGGGATTTTTAACTATCTAAATAGCTGCTATATTATTTATCAGTTACTTCAAGTCATCATTTATTACTCGTGCAAAATCTTTGTCATACAAAATCACTCTATAAATAAATGTTTTATGTACATTGTAGTTTAAATGTATATAAAACAGTACAAGTCTTGAAAACAGCAATATTTGGACTAATTTCTGTATCTGCAGGGTTTCTCCTATAAACCCCCTAAGCTCAGTGCTAGAGGCGCTAGGCAGTCCATCAGCAGCCCACAATGTTTTGTGTTAAAAGATGTTAAGTTACAAATATTCTGAGGTGCACCATAATTTGGAAATAATAGCATGTAAGGCCAACATCAGGTGCAGGGACGGCATAATTGGTGCGCACCCTCCCCAGTTCAATGTATCAGCTGTAAACCTAGCTTAATCTGGGGGATATGTTGATTTACCAGGTTTAACCATATACATTGTGTTTAATGTACTTTATTTATTTATTTAAAAAAGGACAAAAACAAAAACGAAAAAAAAAACCAATAGAAAATGTTATATAATATTGTACAAAGGTGTAATATGACATGACATGAGTTTATGATATAGAACAATGTATTATATCTAGTTAGCCTGTCAGCATCTTAACATCTAACTTAATTTTGAACAGAGAGCTGTTTATTTTCTTTTCTTTGAAGTAATTAATTAGATTAAAAATTAAAGAAGTAAAAGTAGCTTCAACAGTTTGATTTGCATGAAAAACGGAGACATAAAACTTACTTAGGCCATTCTAATATATATTGATTGTAAAAACCACACAACAAATTTGTGAATATGACTATTTTCTAAGGCCTTGACAACATCACAACATTCTCTTTCACTTTGGGATTAATATATGGATCATCTGAGACAAATGCTGGTGGATGTGCTGGGTGGTTTTGCTTCTTTCTTGTGTATGTGGCCTGTGTTTCTACCAGCCATCGATCTCTTTACAGGATCCAGAACATCTCCTGTGGTTTGGGTTAACCTCTCTCAGGAGTAGGGAGATTGTTTTTGCTTTGGTCCATCATCTATTCTGACATGTTTCTGGTCTGCAGTGATCCCAGAGAAAGAAGCTCCAAGTATCCAACAGTACTGCTCAGTTCCTGAGTTTTCCTCATTCCTAGAATAATTATCAGTTTTGAGCATCAGTCAAATAAAGCATCTTTGTTTTGTCGTTGTGGTTATCTCTGTTGATTCCAATCAGTTCTTACATTCTAAACAATCTGGGTGAATTAAATCAATTCCCTCTTTGTTTGAGAATTTTCAGATTCAAAGCATGAAATTAACATGTTTTGATGGAATTTAAATCTAGAATTCAGTTTATTGCTCCATAGATCTTGATTAGAAGACCTATGGACCTATGCTGAATGAGGCTCTTTAGATGTGTGGGTTTTGGGAACTGCAGCCATTTGTCCAACCGGACTGCACACCTGGGGGTACTCTCTGTGAATGACGGAGGTATGCCTGCAATGATTGTTGTTCCAGGGCTTTCAGCTCTAGCCAAATTGCAACACTGAGTGGAGTATGACAGAACGACAGACATCCATTTGTTTATGCAGTGTGTGAGCATAGCTAGTGTGTGAGTTATGCAAATACATCTATTATTGGCATGTTGGTGGAATGTTAAAGTGCCTAAGATGCAGTCGAACAGGATGTTGTAACTTATGATGATTGCTCGTTTACAATGTCACAGTGTGTTTATGTCTCGTTAAGAGGAAGAGTGGGTTAATATGCAAACCTTTACATTAAAATAAGCTTGTCGTTCCCTACTCCATACCAAAATCTTGACTATATTGAAACTATTTACAAAAATGGATAGTCATAAATGCTATTTATTATTTAATACTTTCTTTTGTTTTCTATGAGTGTAACAATGCATGTGTCCATTTCACAAGCTAATAAGATGTATAAAATATAGTGGAAAATAAAAAGAGGTTTTAGCACTGCTTTTAGAGAAACTAAAAATATATATTTTTTTCATTTTCAGAAATACAATAAAGATTTCATAGAGAATTCCTGACACATTTGACAAGAACATATTTTCAAATGTTGTTTTGCTGCTTTTTTTATCATAGTGCCATAATGGCTGTTCTCTTTGTGTTTGACACCCTAAAGAAAGATTTGAACATCCTCTGCTTTAAATAATAATTTTTAGGACTGTTCAAGTTTGACCAGTTTAACTAGGACTTGAAATTGAAATGTTTAATAGGTGCTGACTTAACAAAAACTCTGATGGGTAGCACTGAAGTAGATGCTAATTTTAGCGTGTTTAGGAGCTAACAGTTTGTCATCATATTCATACAGTTATTAAACTACCTTAATTTTGTTTTTTTTATGCTTTCACTCTTTTTTTCTGTGCAGAATTCTATCAGATAAAGAATTTCAACAAGACGGAGGTTTGAGACAGATGGATGATCAGTCTTTCTAAGAGTCTTGATGCAGCAATCTCACAGCACTCACTTTCATATTCAGAGCTGATAACTTGACCTTATTTTGTTAGACAAAATCATATGCTTTCAGCAGTTAGTTACCACTTTGCAAAACTGTCACTTTGGTTAAAAATATAATGTAATCTTGATCTTCTTGTAACATCTGTATGATATGATCCTAATCTATTCCTTTCCCTCCTCAGATACGAGAGGAAGATCATCTCCTGGATTCAGCTGTTGCACTGACGAAGGAACTGAAACAAGGTAAGAAAACAACCAGCATATTTAAGGAAGTATTTTTACTCTGATTTAGTTTCTCCTTCCTTTCTTCTTGACTTGAGATTTACTCAGTGAGTTGGTCACAAATAGTGAAAAAAGAAGACATCTGTCCAACAGATCAGATTGTGGTGTGCTGCAACTTTGATTTTGGGGGATTTTGTTTTATTTTTATTTTTTTTTATTATTTAATTTTTTTCAGATAAACCAGTCATTAGATTTATCTGTCAGGTTTATAAACTTGACAGACTATATCTAACAATTCTACATCTGCCTTTAGTCCTGTTACTTTTGATTGGATTTTCAGGTGTTTTTGCATGTCTATGAATTTTCCAACATTATTGAATTTATTTACAATTGCTTGAGTTGGTGTTGTAACATTTTGCAGTTGTTTGAGTTAAAACAGTGTGGGTGTGAAAACAGGGTGGTCCAAATGTTTTGTTTTATTTCCACCGGTACTATTCCAGTTTAACACCTGCTGGTGATGTTAAGAGCAGAAAGTGATCATTTACAGAGCTGCTGGCAATAAATTAAGCTTAAAATAATGTTCATGAATGCTGTCCTACTTAATGTTCCAAATTACATTTACAATGTAACTGGTGATAATAAAACCAACAGTTCAAGATCTGGCTGTTATTAAGTGTAAAGTTGAATGTTTAGAGGAAGTCAGAAGTTTTAAACTTGCAGCATTTTTGGCTGTTCATCTCGAAAAACTGCACCTTGCAAAACTGGTTCTTTGTTCAGGTCAAGCAAATACTTGAAATATGTAGAGATTTTTAGGTACCAGAGTCAGTGTTCCTGCAGTGGAAAAACAATAAACTTATGCTCAGCGAGTGGCTTAGCACTGCAATGGATTTGGTTTTAGTCAGGGTTTTAGATACAGTGGAGCATGTTGTGTATTTATAAATGCTGTATGTTCATAAACATTAATAGAAACATTAATGGTGATGTCATTACTGATAAATGTTACTATGCTGATCTTGACATTTTGTGCAGAACAGTGTTCATTTGTATTCTGTGCACTGTTGTAGAGCTTTTTTTATGATGACTTTTACTTATATATTTTCAAATCTTTTTATAGCCAAATTAAACCCAATGAAAACTTTTGGCAAATATTCCTTTTATGTAAGATATAAAACATTAACAGACCTCTTTTGTTTGCATGCTTACTAGAAGTGTGTTTTACTGAAAGTGGGAATTTCCAAGGAATGTTTTTATTTTTCCAGGGTATGTCTTACTTTCACTTAGGCAGGTGAGATGGTTGCCAGGATCAAAGCACACCAAGTTTGAAAAAGTTTCAAAGCCACCAAAATTTTTCAGAACACCTATGATGGAGACAGACTAGTGCAGCCCCTGTCTTTCACCAGTTGCCGTGCCCCACCACATGTCTAGAGTCATATAACGACACAATCTGCGCGTCATTATCTGAGCCTCTGATGTTGAGACTGTGATTGGGAAGATGTGACTTTTGGAAATTAGTGGTTACTATGAATAAGAAAGCTCGCAATTAGTTAAATCCATCATTAGGGGAGGGCATTTATCGTATTATCATACGATAATACGATCGTATGATCGTATTATCGTGATAAATTTCACGTGATAAATTTATCGTGATAAATTTATCGTGATAAATTTATCGTGATAAATTTCTTATCATGTTAAGAATTTTGATTTATTGTTGTCACAATAAATTTCAGTTAATGTTTGAAACCCAGGAAGTTTTTTTATTTTTGTCATTGTTTTTTCAATGAAAGTATCAATAAATGTCGATAAATTTTTAAATATGTGTGCAGTTTAGTCATGCAAATTACCCTTCTTTATATGACTGGTGTCCAAAAGAAGCGTATTACAAATGGGAATGTTTTTCCATGTTTGTATGTCTATGATTGCTGTCATGCAGTCAGAATCATACAGTTCCCTCAGAAAGAAGCAATAATTAGTTGTTATTGTCACATTTATTGTGATCATAATTCTACCGCAAAATATTGTGATGAACCTTATCATTCACCCCTGCTTACCATTTATGAAATTCTTGTTAAAGTTTTGAATCCACATCTGATTTTGAGCAGGGCGAGAGATTTCCGTTTTGTCCTTGACTGGAACATAAAATCAGAGCCTCCTTAAAAAGCAGTTTGGTACGGGACAGAGACGGAGCCAGATACTGTCCAGAGACATGTGGATGATTTAGGTTCCTCTGGTGTCCTCACTTAACACTGTGTTTTGTTCTCAGTCAAGAGCCCGGTCCTCACCTATCTGTCCTCGTAACACACACACACATGTATAAACACACGGGCACAGAGACACATGAGCCATGAAGTAGTTCTGAAAGCTGTTGACAGCAGCACACACCACCATTTACACTGGAGCACGTGAGTTTGTACCAGCAAAGTAGGGGTGTATATATAGAAATAGTTTGGCGACAGTTGAAGGCAGATGCACATTAATACCAACATGCACACACACACACGCACAGTCGGACCAGCTGCTATGGGAAAACGAGAGGGATTTGAATGGGAGTGACAGCTGCGGATTCCTCAGGATGAAGGAGGAAGAGAGAGAGATGAGAAAGCAGCGGAAAGCACGAAAAGCAGATAACTCAGATTTGTGAGGAGCGATTGTGTCAGAGAAGGGTAAGCGACTTCTGCAGAGCTTGGGAAAAAGAAACGGATCCAGCTAAAGAACTCTGAGGCAGGAAGATGAAGTTACTCGTTAAGCATAAAACAGGACTTTAATCATACAGTAAAAGCTGTTCTGACATCAAAGTTCCTTCAATTTAAAAAAAAGTTTTATTTTGGCTCAATAGATTTCTATACATTCCTTACAAAAATATCCATACCTGTTGGACTTTTCTCAATCTGTCATTAGTTTGTTGGGATTTTATGTGACAGACTAAAAATAGCTTTTGATGCAGTCCATCCAACCACCTATATCCAGACTTTGTAGAAATATCTGTTCTGCAGCTAAAGCACCAAGCCTCTAACACTTGGATGTTTTGATGTAAACTGTTTCAGCTCTGCCTGCGTATTTAGGACCATTGTTCTGCTGAAACTTAAACCTCAGCCTCGGTCTCAAGTATTAAAGCTTCTTATGATATTTTTTTTACACTATTACTCCATATTTAGCTAAGTCCATTCTGCCCTGTCAACAGATTCTCCCTCTGCAGCTTCAGAGTTACAGTTCCTGGATGGCTTTGCACTCGCACCACACTCTTTCAAAGTTTCAGATAATTGTTATTGTTTTATAAGTAGGACTGTCAACGTTTATGAGTTACCACATGCGATTAATCTAAAAAGTTTAACAAGTTAATGTTAAATAATGCAGATTACCTATTTTGATCAAAAAACTGTGGAGAGTTACCTACTTCGCAGCAGTGCGCTACACGGTCTTGTACTGTGGTCAGAGTCACAAACGAGAGCAAAAAGATGAGCGAAGAGAGTCAGACTAATGACAGCACTATTTATTTTCTTTAAAATTCTCCACAACTTTATCTCCGACTCTCTTTTTATGTTCCTTGGTCTTTATGATTCTGTTTGTTCACAATAGAGCTGATGGTTATCATTTAGGGGTATCAGAGTAAAGAGGGAGCTGAACTAAACAGCATGACTTTTTTTTAAAGGAATTTCATTATTTTCAGTTTTCACACATTTGTTTTCCTCTTGGCTGTTGATCTGCCATGTAAAAATCACAAAATCCATTCAAGTCTGTGGTTTGTAGCGAAAGAAAAATGTGAAGAAGTTCAAGCTGTATGAATAATTTTGCAAGGCACAGTGTGGATTGGGAAATGTATGAGGAATCTGGCCTGGTGTTTACTGGTAGTATGAGCAGCAGTCCTGATGACAAAGGGAGTGCAGGCCAACAGAGTAAACGAACATGTGATCCCAACTGTCAGTATTAGACTATTCATAGAAATCCTGTGTTGCACAAGGCTGATTTAGCAACAGGGTGGATTTCTTTTTTCTGTATACACCCAAAACCTTATAGTTAATTTAAAAAATCACCTTTCCCACCATTCACTGACCTTTAGCTCCGAGAATAAAACCCACTGCATTAACAAATTGACAGGTCTGATCCATAAATGTCCAAGGAATCTTACCGGAGAAAGTGATTCACTAGGAGTGTGCTTTTTTTTCCACCGTGTAATAAGAAGGTCTTACATAAATAAATCAGCAAAATCTAATAGGCTTTGCTACTGAGAAAACCCCCCATCAACAATAAAAAAAAAAGTTTAATTCCTGCAGCCAGTGTGAGTCACGACTGATTTCTGCAGAAATAGCAAACCACAACACTTCCCTAAAACTGCAGTAAGCAAAATCGGTAACAATCTGCAATGATGCCAACAAGAAATTTGTTCAACCATTTGTTTTTACCTTTAATCCCCAAGTGCTTTAAAAAAAAATCTGAATCCATTAAGTCTGACAAGCATGTGGAATAAATGAGGCACGGCCTAACAGGGTTGTCAATAGCTGACTTAGTAGTTTTCCATGTTCCTATAATGGATGTGTTAGTAAGCAAGTGTGTGTTTGTCGCATTAGCCCGTTGCCTTCGGGCCACGTTTAGTCATTAATCAGAGTCATTAAATGATGTCAGAGTTCTCTGCTTTTCAGTCATATGCTCAGCGTCGGAGCAGTGATTTGCTTTGTGTGATGGAGGGGTCGGAGGTGGGGGAGTGCGGTAATTCTTAACCATGCTCCAGTTGGTGGCGATTTTACTCTTGATAATAGAGTTCACGCCGGCTGTGCTCAAAAGCACTGCAGCAGCAGCAGTGGCAGCGGCCACTGCGGCACAACAGCTAGGAAGGGAGATGGGAGGAAATGGGAGTCTAAACTGAGCTCTCAAACAGGAAGCCACCCCGATTCTCTCATTGTTGAGCTTTTATAGACTCAACTTCCTGTCGAGTGTACCGCTGGTGTCACCATAGTTACCATCCCTGCTGTTAACGAGATGGACACTTCAAAGATGTGTGAAAGTCGCAAATGGTTAAAAAAAAC